CCTATGGAGGGAGCGAGACCGTCACTTCTGCCTTGACGCAGTCCCTTTACAAACAGCCCACCTGTGCCGGGCGCGCTCGACGGCGGCACAAGCCTTGGGTTTCGTCCAAGCATGACTTTACGCAAGCATTACACGAGCCCACCAAGAGTATGTTTTTCTGGGTCAGTGTTTCGAATCCGCAAACGTCACTAGGATCCCCGGCCCGGGAGCGCGAACCTGGACCGATTCCACTTCTCCCCATACTTCAGCCCCTGGTTTCCACTCTGCTGGAAAGCACAACGACCGTGAAAGTCCCCTTTGCCGCCGGGAGGGAGCACGTCCCCGACGGTCCGGGCAGGGTCTGCAGCGGCCTCGGCGCCGGCCAGCGAGCCCCAGCCTACGGGAGAAGGGAGGAAGGAAAGGGAGGGCGGGTTTCCGCAGGAAACTTAAAACCGACCTGCCGCCAGGGTCAGGACTGCGTTGGCACCTGCACAGCTCCCATTTCACGGCGAGTGGAAAGAAACCGCTCAGCCCGGCACCCGATCTTCCTCCCCGCCTCTGCTCCCGCGCGCTCCTCAGCTGCCGTGCCAGGCTGTAAATCTTTCATTGCCAGCGATACCCCGCCGTTGCCAGCTGAACCCTTGGGAGAAAGTCAACGCCGCCGCCAAAGCTCTCGCGCTCAACCCCAGCATTGCTCATTTAGGCTGGAGAGCAAGTCTCCATCCAGCAGGAGCCCTGGGCACGGCGGGAGGGAGGGTGAGAGCAGCATCTGGCCTTCGAACCCCGCGTGAAATCGTCACTGATACCCAAGGCGGAATATGGTTTTCTTACCAGTCTCCGTGCAACGTAGTTGCTACACCGTTACATGGAAATCTATACATCCCTCCCCGCCTCCGTCTCACACACACACACACATACGCTCACACTCCATTTAGAGGTAATTACATCAGGGCTCCGCTTGCCAAGCTCTGCTCAAATACCTCGGAGCTGATTGAATTGACAATTGTACTTGATGGGGATGAAGCGATTAATCGCTTATGAAACACTGAACAATGGGGCCTGAGGGTGAAGTTCTTCTTCCATTTGCGCTCCATTTATCTCCTTCTGCATCATATAAAGTTACTGCTATTAAACTCCATTCATAAAATTGTCATCTTTTTGGCTGAGAAAACGTTGTCTGTATTGATCGTGGCCAGCCAAATGGCGAAAACAAAAAAAAAAAACACTCAACCAAAACACTCCCTGGGCTGCAACGCAATAGTGACACCATTATTTTCCCTGTGGAGTGAAGTGCAAAGACTCAGCTTCTGATCTTGGCTACGCTGAATAAATCCAGCTGAATCAGTCCAGGGAGCACGTCCTGGCTCACAGCCGCGTGCCCGAGAAGGCCCCCAGACGTATGGGTTCTAAACGCTGCCCAAGAAAAGGATATTTTTACTGGGTTAAAGGTATGTCGAGGTCTTGCAAAAAACGGGTTGGAAAAATGAAGTTTTTCTGTGTGTCCACAGAGGAAAGGCAGCAGAGCTCGTACCACTGCAAACGTCTCTACAGTTCTGTCCGGAGGGACACAGCCAACAGCGAGAAGTTAATCTTCACGCCAATATAATCACTGGGGATGGACTTCAGGTTCAAAACACTGACGAAGGAGGAGAAGGCTCCATGTCCCACTACCCCTCCCAGAAGGCCGCCCGTCTCCTCTTCCCAGGTAGTTTAACACTGAGCAATGGCTGGTTTTGATGTGGATCCCTGCAGAACGTCCATCTGGGCCCATCACAGACCGATTAGGTTCAGCACGTCTCATGTGCACAACCAAAACTTTTGGACACAACTTTGAACCTCCATGAATCTGCAGGTCTTTCAGGCTTCACTCACCTCTAGCCATTAGGTGCCTCAGTAGAAGCTACAAAGGCACAAGTCATCTCGTGGAGAAAGACCCAGCAGAAGGCAGCACCCTGGTGACAGCAGCAGAGGAGCCTCCTGGAAGGCACTTCAGGAAGTTGGGGCTCTCGGGCTGAGAGCAGGAGGCAGAGAAATGGGCAGGTGCTGCCACACTATCCCCTTCCAAAACTGTGGAGATGACGCCCTGCTTCTGCTCTTCCCCGGAAAGCGATGCTCCCGAGAGCCAAGAGCTCGGAAACGCCGCAAGCGCTCTGGCTTCTGCCCCCGAGCCGGCACACGGAGAGAGGGAAGACGAGCTCGATTTGCCCAACTGTGCCTGTACGGAAACACCGAAGCTGAGCAGTTCATGCGGAAGAAGCTGGTGTCCCTAGACTGGCTCTGAACCCAGAACGTCCGCTTTGTTACAACGATCAGACCCAGTGCTCTATACGGTGCCATTTTCCCTTATAATTATTTTTGTAATACTGTAATTTATGTGGCATGAAGGAGCAATATTCCTCTGCTAAATGAATTCTCAGCTATTCCTTACCCTGGTTTGAGCCTATTCACTGTGCTGGGAGGAAAAAAATAGCTGGAGAGCCACCTTCCACAAAACGCAGCCCTATTTCTGACTAAACTGCGCTCCACTAAAATCAATTTACTGAAACAATAAATCCTTTTACCCTGTGGAAAGTAAGCGGAGATAAAACAGCTCATGAACAAACAATCATGGGGACTGCAGGCTGTGCCATTAGTCGGCGGGCAAACTATAAACCTCACAATCTATTTTCCAGTAAAAATACATACAAACAAACAAAATTACGGTTGCCTCCTTTTCTGGGGGAAAAAGCACTTGGGAGATGATGTAGCCGTGTCTGCTGTCGTGTCCGAGTATTGCAGAGCGTGAGGCTGTAAGGTCTGACGGGACACCCCTGATGGGACAGGGGAGTTCGGGGCTCATGACATCCGATTCCAGCTCAAACCCTGGCTCTTGGGATCACCTTGGGCAAGTCGCTTCGGACCCGTTTGCTTTGCTTCCTCCCAGCTCTTCCTCCCCTCTTGGCCTGCAAAGTCCCAGCTCACGTTTCCCGCGCTCTTTGCGGAGGCCGGGTAACGACAGATAAAAGCTAATCGGTTGCGATAGGTCATTTGGGATGCCACCAGCCCAACAGTTACTGATAATGAGTTTCCTGTAGGAACACAGAAAACCTTCTGCTAGTCCGAGCATCAGTGGCCCAACCACCCTACGCCTGCAACACGTCTGCGAGACGCGGCGACGGTACATTCATCTCTCGTTGACGGTATTTATAAACGGACCCGTGACGTACAGCACGGCCAACGAAACAAACAGCAACACACGACCCGCACCCGAGCTGAACATACGCCGTGAAACTTCGAGATATTTTGTTAGCAACACAGCCTGCTAACGCACTTAAAAGGTTTGCAGGAACCAATTATCACCCTTTCTGCCACCTACTGACATCAATTATTGCTCAAATTTAAGATGATGACAAAATGTTTTAGAAGCCACTCGACAATCCGCTGTCTCTCTCCGGGAACGCTT